GATGGGGCTCCAGGCTGGGGGTTGGGTGTAAGGGGGGTTTGAGGGCTCCGGCTGGGGGTGCAGGCTCAGGGGTGGGGCTGAGGATGAGGTGTTTGGGGTGTCGGAGGGGTCTCAAAGTTGGGAAGGGGGTTGGGTGCAGGAGGGGGTGTGGGCTCTGGGAGGGAGTTTGGATGTGGGAGGGGGCTCAGGGCTGAGGGTTGGGGTGCAGGAAGGGGGGCAGGTTCCAGGCGACACTTACTTCAGGCGGCTCCTGGAAGTGGCTGGCATGTACCTCCAGCTCCTCAGTGCAGAGGTAGCCAGGAACTCCGCAGGCACCATCCCTGCAGCTCCCGTTGGCCGCAGTTCCCGGCCAATGGGAGCTGCAGGGCTGGTGCTCAGGGTGGCACCCGCGCCGCGAGCAGAGGCAGCGCACGGAGTCCCCCAGCTGCCCCTGTGCCTAGGAGCCTGAAGGACATGCCGGCTGCTTCCAAGAGCCACGCAGAGTTGGCCTCTACAGCTACACGGACTTTTAGTGGCCCGGTCAGCTGTGCTGACCAGAGCCACCAGGGTCCCTTTTCGATCAGGCATTCTGATCAAAAACCGGCAACCTGGCAACCCTATAGAAAACCCCCTGGGTAGGGTTTGAAGGACTGACTCCTGCAAAAGCCCTTGCTGGAGTTGGGGAGGAAGGGTGATCTCTGGGAAGCTTATCTGCATGCTTGGAGGATCTTTTATTGTTTTTGGTATGTTTTCTCTGTAATGCTTTCACCTTAAGAAGAATGTTCCTGCTTATAAAGAGCTGTGTGGCAGCTTACAACTGTTGGAAATCATAAAAGAGCATTGCCTAAACAGGCCTGCTCCTGCACTTTGCTTTCTCCTCAGAGGCTGTCTGGCCTGCTGGTGAATAACACAGACAGTATAGGAAGGGAACTGTGCAGCCTGGAAAAACCTTGGTTCTGAGGCAGAAGAGGCCTTATCTACACTATGAGTTTAGTTCGAATTTAGCAGCGTTAAATCGAATTAACCCTGCACTCGTCCACACAACGAAGCCATTTACTTCGACATAAAGGGCTCTTAAAATCAATTTCTGAACTCCTCCCCGAAGAGGGGAGTAGCGCCGAAATCGACATTGCCATTTCGAATTAGGGTTAGTGTGGCCGCAATTCGACGGTATTGGCCTCCGGGAGCTATCCCACAGTGCACCATTGTGACCGCTCTGGACAGCAATCTGAACTCTGATGCACTGGCCAGGTAGACAGGAAAAGCCCCGCGAACTTTTGAATTTCATTTCCTGTTTGCCCAGCGGGGAGCACTGATCAGCACAGGTGACCATGCAGAGCTCATCAGCACAGCCAGAATCAAAAAAGAGCTCCAGCATGGATCATACGGGAGATACTGAATCTGATCTCTGTATGGGGAGATGAATCTGTTCTATCAGAACTCCGTTCCAAAAGATGAAATGCCAAAACATTTGAAAAAAAATCTCTAAGGCCATGATGGACAGAGGCCACAACAGGGACTCAACACAGTGCTGTGTGAAACTTAAGGAGCTGAGAAGCGTACCAGAAAGCCAAAGAATCAAATGGACGCTCACGGAGGGAGGGGCGACTGACGACTGTAGCTATCCCACAGTTCCCGCACTCTCCGAAAACCATTTGAATTCTGGGTTGAGCTCCCAATGCATAAAGGGAAAAAACATTGTCACGGGTAGTTCAGGGCACACGTCGTCAGGCTCCCTGCCCTCCCTCCCTCTGTGAAAGCAAAGGGGAAAAAAATCGTTTCTCGCCTTTTTACACTGTCACCGTATGTCTACTGGATGCTGCTGGCAGACGCGGTGCTGCAGCACTACACAGCAGTATCCCCTTGCCTTGCCTTGTGGACGGCAGACGGTGCAGTATGACTGGTAACCGTCATCATCGTCCCGTGGGTGCTCCTGGCTGGCCTCGGTGAGGTCGCCTGGGGGCGCTTGGGCAGACATGGGTGCTCCTGGCTGGCCTTGGTGAGGTTGGTCGGGGGCGCCTGGACAAAAAAGGGAATGACTCCAGGTCATTCTCTTCTTTAAGTTTTGTGTAATGGAGATTCAGTCCTGCCTGGAATATCATGCCAGCTGGAGGCTTCTGATGCAGGCTGCCCTCCCAGTCAGCAGCACCGCGCGGTCGCACCTACCCCAGCCTAACCCTTGCTCTCAGGGCTCACAATCAAACACTTAGACCTCTACATTTTGCTGCAAATAAAAAAAATAAAGCTGCCATTTAGAACTGTCCCCCAACATACATATCCTGGGACATTTTGTATTTTACCAGTGTCAACCAAAGGCCCACATACAAATGGAGATTCAGTCCTGCCTGTGCTTCTATCCTAGTGCTTATCACAGATTCCCATTTTCAGCTATAGGCTGAGCAAGTGCAGAATGGTAGTTCACTCGACTTCGCTGTAAGCCAACCGCCCTCCCCTCCCCCCTTTGATCTCCGCTTGCAGAGGCAACAAAGTCAATGTTGTTTCAAATTCATGCATTCTTTATTACTTCATCACACAAATGGGGGGATAACTGCCAAGGTAGCCCGGGAGGGGTGGGGGAGGAGGAAAGCAATGGGTGGGGTTGTTGTAGGGGCACCCCCTAGAATGGCATGCAGCTCATCATTTCTGCGGGATGTCTAGGGCTCGGACCCCGGAGCGGCCGTTTGCCGCTCTGGTTCTTTAGTAGGCTTGCCTGATATTCTAGGCAGGACTGACTCTCCACTAGACAAAACTTAAAGAAGAGAATGTCCTGGGGAGTCATTCCCTTTTTTGTCCAGGCACCCCCGACCAACCTCACCGAGGCCGGCCAGGAAGATCCATGACAGCAGCAGACGGTACAGTATGACTGGTAACCATCTTTGCCAACTTGCAAAGCAGCAGACGGTATAGTATGGCTGGTAACCGTCTTTGCTAACTTGCAAAGGCAAGGAGATTCTGCTGTGTAGCGCTGCAATACCGCGTCTGTCAGCAGCATCCAGTAGACATACGGTGACAGTGAAAAAAGGCTGAACGGGCTCCATGGTTGCCATGCTATGGCATCTGCCCGGGCAATCCAGGGAAAAGGGCGCGAAATGATTGTCTGCAGTTGCTTTCACGGAGGGAGGATTGACTGACGACATTTACCCATAACCACCCGCATGCACTCAACTTTATACAATCGGTTGCCAAAAATCGAATTCTGTAAATTCGGAGTAATCCCGTAGTGTAGACATACCCAGAGAGATGTGGGTCTCTGCCCAATAGAGGTGTGGGAGCCAGAAGCCTAAAAGTGATTGCCCTAAAAGTGATTGCACAGAGTGGAACTGCAAGTGCAGTTGAGCTGAACTGTAACAATTATCATAATGATTGTTTCTGGCCTTGAAATTCTATTAATGTTTCCAGCTTTTACACCTTTTCTAAAACTGCAGCACTCTTAAAACTTTTCCCCCCTACCCTCTGCTACCAGTGTTGATGTGTATTTATAACATTGACTAGTTTTTTATCTGATAACCTTAGAATGCATTATAGAAAGATGACTGACACTTGTGTACATTACTGATTTTAAAAGATGAATCTATCTCTCTCTCTCTCTACGTGACGGATTAATATAGTATGAACTACTACCAGGATCCCTGAGGGGCTTATAAGTATTGTAATAGGTGAAGCAGATTTTACAGATGTTGTTATGCCTACATTTAGTTATCCAGAGTCAACTGTTTCCTGGACATTGTTGCTGTTCAGAGACTTTGACTTCTAGATGCTTCTCTGTGATCCAGACTTCACAAAATTTAATCTTTGCATACAGGATCTATAGCCACACCAGACGTCCAAAATAACACAGAGTTCAGAATTAAATAATACAGAGTACAACTCTGAGGTTCCCCTGCTCTTTAAAAGTAACCACACAATTAAAAAAAAAATAGTTAAAGACTCCATTCCTCACTGATAACTGTAAAATAAACTTAACTTGTAGAATACAACTTTAAAAGTTGCTGAACACCCAGAGTCCACATTAAAATACATTGAACAAGCATTAATCACTTTTCAAAAGTCAAGTCCAAGTTTCTAGGCCAATTTTTGAGACATGAATATTCCAAAAAACAGAAAAACAGTTCTCAAAAAAGGAAACAGTACCCAAGATTTTTTTTCTCTCATTCAAAATTCCATCTCTTACACATGTATTGTCTTCCCTCAAAAATAAATTATCACTTCTGCCACTCATCTCTAAAAGCAGCATACAGGAGAAGTTTCCATATTTCCATTCAAGTGGTTCAATTTCAGAAAAGTTTGAAAATAGGATGGAAGGAGAGTCAAAAATCAACCAACCCAACACACACCTGTAACTATGGAGAGACTACTATATTTCCAAAGTATAATCTGTTAGAGTCTTGCAACCCAACCTAACCTGACAGGACCTGACCACACGTATGAGGTTTGGGTCAGGTCATCTAAAAACAACCTAACCCTCTTGGGCTCAGGTAATCTCTGATCATCTCCTGCTGCCTGCATGTTTGGTGCTGCGTGCCTCACTCCTGCCAGCGCCAACTCATAAGTCACAGCACCTCTCATTTCATAGCGCACAGCGCAGCAAGGCAGCAATGGCCATCAGGAGCAGGACACGCTGCTGCCACCACACCAACCCCACCATCAGGAGACATCCAGAGATGGATCATGGGCGTGGGGAGTGGAAAGTCCCACCAGGCTAAGCCTGACGACCAAGAGGCAGTGGCAGCATTGACAGGTTCAGGGGGAAGTGTCAGGTTTCGGTCAGGTCTGAAATTGACTTGACACGCTCGAATCAGGTTGGCTGTGCTTGAGTCAGGCTTTAAAAATAGGCCCAAGCAGACCTCTATAATCTGTATTAATGTTTGATAATAAATTATCAGAATTTAAACACCTAAGTGGTAGATTTTGTGACATAGTAGTAGTGCTCTGC